AGAGGAATGAGTTATACCTTATGTTACACCTTCAGCCTCCCTTAATTCCTAAACAAAGTAGATTTTTAAATCAGAGCACTGAAAAAGATGATATACTTTTTAAAAATTCATTTGGCTCTCGTAGATTTAACCCTCTAGTGCCCAGGTATAGAAATCATTGACAGAAAAATTTCATTTTCCCAGAACATGTTCAAAAGGAAGTACAATAACCAAATTTGAAAGTTTGTTTCATCTAAAACTTGTATTTAAAAAGTTACAGACCGTGCCATATATGGCACATTGGGCATTTGGGTATTATGTGCCAGATATATTACACCGGGTAGCGTTGAACAAATGTATCATGTTTTTCTTGGGTGGAATTCTTCAAAACAGTTTCGCTCCTTGTTCAGACAGAGATGAACCATACACTTCCTTACACATGATGTAGGTCTTTGAGTCACATCTGGGGCGTTTGCATCATTGCCGGTCGGCATGGAGAGGAAGACGATCCATGCGATCGAGCTGTGAGTCAACAGTTGGGGACTTCTCTTGAGTGCTAGAGTGTGAGAGAAACTGAGGACTCCCAGCTACAGATCGTCCTGGCAACCTTTCGACGGTAACCTGACTGTCAGCAATCGACTGATGGAAGTCACATAGCTTGACTGGGGACTGCTGAAGCATCCTGCAGTGACGACGATATCTCAGTCAACTGATGACTACCACCATGTTGATTGTGTCGTAAAACAAATAAATGTACCAATTTCGAGTCTTGACTTTTGCTTTGCAGAGAGCGGTGAGACAATCAAGTAAATCTACCCCTCCCATGTGTTTGTTGTACGTGCGAATTACAGTAGGGCAATTCACTGCAGTTTTTCCCTTCAGTTTTTTTACCCACCCGGTAACATTCTCAACAGATTCTGGTCCAACATATGACGAAATGACATCCACTTTCTTGTTGTCGTACCACCGAACGACGACAATATTGGAGTCAGAATCCACTAGACTCTGCCTTCAACCTTTCAAGAGGTTTTCATGGACGGTTCCCACCTATTGCAGTCCTTTCTCCTTCAACTGTTTCACCATGTTTACGCTCGAAAAGTGGTTGTCGGCAAACATTTTGTAATTCTTTCCATCCTCCAAGTTCTTCACCATGTCCATGACAACATCACCTCCCATGCCTAGCTCAGATCTAAGAGTATGAACTCCATTTGAATCTTGATACACATCAAAGTCTTGCAGAGTGCCTTCACTTCCGCAACAAGCCCACAACTTGAAACCTCATTTGAGGGGTATTTTCCAAATGCATTGTTTCA